CCTCCGGCGTCCCCATGGCGCGGACGACTCTTCAGCCGGTGGCCAGCTGCTGGCCTCTGCCGTGAGGAGTTAGCTCTCTGGGGTGGGGCTCACTGTGCAAGAGCGGGGTGGAGGCCCTTTCCTGGGACATAAATACACTCAAGGAATGTAGGTTGTCTCTCGTGCTTCCTATGGGACCAGAAGGCATCGGTCAGGCCCCATTTGGAATATCAAGGTCACGATGAGGCCCCTGGACAAAGCAGCATCAAGACCTCCCCCTGCACATCTGCGGGTGGCAGCCGGTGGGGTGACCGTAGGGACACTGGGAACATCACCTGCCAGGCCCCTGTGGTGGGAGCTGTGTGAGTCAGGTTGGGGCTGGATGTTACCTGTCCTGGGTTCTGCAGCCCGAGAGCTCTGCTCACCCAGTCCTGGGCCCCCGGTGGGTCCAGGTAGTAAGTCCGTGAGGGCCGCTGCCCGACTTACCGCCTGTAGGTGCGTTATGCTCATTTATGCTCATCTTTGCCTGTGCAGTGTCCACAATCCGTGGCATTTATCAGTGTCTCGGTGGTGGGTTGTTGGAAATTCCGAGAGCGTTTTCCCATGAGACAGTTGTGGTTTGCTTCTGCAGCTGGGATGGTAACCTCCGCTCTGATCTGGGTCCAGGGAGGGAGCAAATGCACAGACAGGAGCCTCCTGCCCGTGGAAGCTGGTGATAACCACAGAGCAGGTGTGTTCCCGAAGCTCACCCCCGGGGCACAGCTGTCCCTGCTACACTTGCTGGGACTCCCAGGCCCTTCACGCCTGCCACCTGACATATCTTAACCTGGTGTTATTTTGTGTGTTTGAGCAGTGTGCGTGCGCATGGCTGAGACGTGTGTGTGCGTGTGAGGTGTGTGTATCGTGTGCACGTGTGCAAATGTGCGTCTGTTTGCATGCATGTGTGTGGCTGGTCCCCACCTTGTCCCTGTGTTGGACAGCAGGTGCCCGGTGTCCCTCAGAGCCTGGGACAGCATCTCGCCTGTGGCAGGCACTGGGTTGTACTTGTTCTATTTGTTCAAAGAGCAAAGACGATGCTTCCTGCAGGAGCACATAGGGTTCTTCTGGCTCCATGTCGGGGTGCTCCTGTTCCCCATTCCCCACCCTTCCCGGTGGCTCCAGAAGCAAAGAAGGAGGCCTCCAGGGATTCAGAGACACTGTGCCCAGGGGCTGGGTGAGGGTCTCGCCCACTGGAGGAGTGAGGAACTCTCTGGAAGGTTTGCCCCAGGTCGAGCTCGTAAGGAGCAAAGGACTGGACTGATGGATGACGGATGCCCCTACTTCCGGGGCCCCTGCAGACGGTGGGCGTCCCCACTGCTGAGGGCTGTGACCACACCGAGCAGGAGGGAACAGTCTGTCGGCTTCATTCGTGGGCGGGAAGGACCGCTGTGCTTTGTGTTATGAGCCACTGTCCTTTACCACAGTTATACAAGTTTTCTGAAAAAAAAAGTGATCTTACAGTTTGGTAGCAACTGGTCATACTTCCTGCATTTGAAACAACTAACTAGAAAAAAATTTAAACCAGGTGCAGGGGAGGGGAGATCCCTGCTGGCTGGAGGTGGTCAACTGAAACATTTTCTTCCATTTTGGAATCGACCAGTTGGAGGTCACATTGGATCCATGGGAAATCTGGTAGGTGGAAAATTAGGAATTCCTCTCTTCCCCACACTGCGCCCTGAGGAGCCTCCGAGGTCTTGGCTAGTGGTGTTTGGTCTCTGACGGCAGTGACAGCCAGATGGCTGCTTCACACTACAAAAGGAAGGAAAGAAAAGTAATTCTTCTGACATTTTCAACTTCAAATCAGAGGAAAAGAGTTGTAGGCTTTGCAAGAACGCTCCGCATTCCTCTAGTGTGCTATTAAAGAGTAAGTGGCCTTATATTTTATTTGTATAGATTGCCCCTTGGCTGAAAACAGTAAGGCATCCATGGGCGTATAGCCAGGACTTTGGTTGGGCATGAGAAGTGTTCTCACACTGGCTTAGCTTACAGAAGACTCAGCCGTCTAACCCACTTGCTCAAGACCACGAGCCCAGCCCCAGGTGGGCCTGAGTTTAGGGTTCAATGTCACGGGCTCCGTTTTTCTCCTCCCACATGTCTTGGCCCTCTCTTGGCCGTCCTCTCTGCTCTGTTCTCAGCAGGTGCCGCACATGGGCAGAGGCCCCGGCATCTTGGAGTCTCCGGTGCAGAGACGTTCTGGCAGCAGTCCTAGGAAGGATCCGACGTCTCGTTTCTGTCCCAGAATAATATCACTGTGTCCAGAGGCATGAGCTCCCTGGCAGGTCAGGCGGGGATGGTGGGGAGGGGACCATGCAGAACGGACAAACCACAGGACAGCCTGCACCGCGGCCTCTCAGCCTCGGCTCCCTCAGCATTCGGGTGGGTCATTTTGGGGTAGGGGGAGATGTCCTGTGCCTCACGGGATATTCAGCAGCACCACAGCCCCCACCCATAAGATGCCAGTGCCCCCCCGTATGTAACCGAGACCCTCCAGATGTGGCCAGATGTGCTGGGGGGTGGGGGTAGAGACACACCACCTGAGAATCATGGTGTTACCTGATGTCCACACCCCGAATTCTTGTAGAATAAAGAAAATCACTGTTTTCTTTATGGGAAAATGAGGTTTTCCCACTTAAACTTAATCTCAGAGGTCATCTGGTGTTGCTGCATTTATGGGGCAGGAACTTTTAATGTCTCAAATACAATTTGGAGGAATAGAGAAGCAAACCCTGGTTTATTGTACTTGTTTGAGGCCTGACTATCCATTGCAGTGAAGAAAATGTGATCCTGGCTATGTGCAGAAGAGAAAACAGCGACCCAGTGTGCAGCTGAGTCAGGAACAGCCCCTCCCCACCTACAAGGCAGCCCCCCAGTCCTGGCCAGTGACCCCCAAGCCCCCAAAATGGGAATTGCAGGAGCTAAAAATAGAGATGTTATGGGTAATGAATTCGGCCTGTCTTCTCCCTTCTCCAAGCTAAATAATTCCTGTTCTGTTAGCAATCTTTCATAACATGTATCTGACAGCACTTTACTCATCTGTGTGGCCGTGGATTGAATCATCCTGCGTCCTCCCTCTCGTGTGGGGTCCAGAGCTGAGCCAGCATTTAAAATTAGTATAGAATTCGCTGAGGCTCACACGTTAGAATAGATTCCAACCAAGGTGTCCCAGAGAAAACTCATTCACCAAACAGCGTAGACTGAGAATACGTGGTAATCTGGCATTTTCTGCTTGTTTCTGCTTCCCAGGGACGACCCATGTGGACCTGCCTGTTACTGAGGGCTGCATCGCCTCCCTCAGAATGTAGTCAACCAGCTTACCTGGGACGTCCACATTTCGTAGTGAATTGACTGGTTGAATCCACAATAGAAACACCTATTGGTGTGCAGCAACACAGTGCTGTGGATTGAATTTTCTATTATTGTAAAAAAATTTCTTCTCACCCATTCCAGCACTTTCTTTAATTACCCTCTCCCTGCAAGTTATGTGCCAGGCACTTGTGATGCAAAAGTTCCTGTCATGGAGGAGCCGGGGAAACAGACCCATAGACAGGAATCAGGTTGATGGGGCAGCAGGCAGGTGTGATGGGGCGGCGGGCAGGTGTGACTCTGCGGGCAGGTGTGATGGGGCGGTGGGCAGGTGTGACTGTGCAG